TTACTGGCCATCTGCAGCAGCAGGGAGCCTGGTGCCGCCACGACGACAGGGCTCTTCGGCCACGCTCCCGAGAAGAGGCTTTGGCTTCGGCCATGGCAGCATGCGAGATGCCCCGTACGAAGTGCTTCCGAGGTTCGTACTCCGTCAGGTCAGGAACCCCGTAACCTGACCTCCGTCGACTGCCCATGGGTCGCGCAGCCTGCGACCGGAGGCGTGACCACTGACCGGGGACTGCGTTTTCTAGAAGGGCAGGCTGGCAGCACAACATCACTCTACCTACAGTGTGCACATCGCAGCACGGGACTGCTCTCCACTGCTCTGCACCGCACTGCTCTGCTCTCCGCGAGCACTTTCACCGCTGTTGTGCTCTCTCCTCTGTATCGATGGTCCTTGGACATCGGAGTGGTCGCACTTCTCATCTTGCATCCGTACCCTGCAGTCCCTGCATTGAGGTTGCATCACATCGCTCACATCTTGCGTCTTGCATCTGGCAGCTGCACTAGTTGAGAGGCGAAGAGGCGACGAGACGAGCAACAGCAACGAGACAACGAAACGACGACACGAGGCGAGCGCAGAGTCCGTCACCGCCTGCGCTTTCTGCATTGCCTCCCTCTTCATGATTCGTCCTCGAGCGCGCGGGGGTAGCGCCGCGGTCGTCTGGCCAGAGGTGCCGACGGCGAGCAGGAGTTGATCTGGAGCCGGACTTGGCGACCCCTTACTTCGTGCTTCTGGCTCTGGCCAGGCGATCAGGGGACATGCTTACCCTGCGGCGGTTGATACAAATAAAGACGAAGCTTTTCCGCTCCTCCTCATGTCCCGTCGATGGTCTGCCGCAAAAGGGTTTCGCTCCTCAAGAATGGTGGCGGAAAAGAGGATCGAAATTCCACCCAGGCCAATGGTTGGGGCGTCGGTCAGCTGAAATGCGCTGCATAGATGCGCAAGGAGGAGGAGGAGGAGGCCAGTATAGATCCGGAGAAGTGTCTTCCTTCAAGCCACCGGGCACGCGGTCCAAGAGATCAACGCAGGCACTCGACACTGCGACAGGCATCGTCGCTGCACGTCGAGCGTTACGGAAGGAAGTCAAAACAGTGACCTGGCGGTATGTCGAAACGAACCTCACATTTCGGTGCAGGCTTCCTATTGGCCGGGCTGTCTTTGGCGCGCTTTAGCGAATCTGGCCCTCCTCCGTCCTCCAGGTACCATCGACATTTCACACGACGCGATCGAACATGGTAGATACCGTCCGCCTGCTGGTCGTTTAGTTCCCGTTGCGAGTATTCTCTACTTTCCAGTGGCGCACTCTAGACAAAATCCGGGCGTGTAGTGTTTTGCTTCTTACCGTTGCTGATCGACGCTAACCTTAAATGATCCCTTCGTGTTGAGTGACCACCCAGACCCTCGACTTCTTTTTTGATTCTCCCAGTGCCACCTCCCTTCATCATTGGGTATGTTTTCTTTTCTCAGCTCCAGATTTTTTCTACAGTAATGTCAGGGGTGATCTCGAAAAGCCTAACCTTATTTTCAAAGCGGAGCAATAGGAGAACATCCGCGAGTACTTCGAGACGGGGATGCCATAGCTCATGGCGACTTGTAAACAATCTGACATGGTTGAAGCCCCTCGGGCTAGGCAAATTTGACTCACACTTTGTCAAAAAAATGTGCTCGACTCTCGAGTGTCACTGCATCCAGTTCGTTCCACGATGCAAGGTCCCATTTCTCGCCGACCTGCCCAGTACCGGACCTTGGAGATCAGCAACCGGTCACAGCAGAATTAAAGTTACGATCGCCCGAGATCCACTGACTTACTTTTTCTGACCTGCGGGAATCTCACCCTACGAACCGTTATGAAGTTGTCACATCGAGCCACAGTAGCACAACTTTTCAAACTTGTTCGTCCCTGAGACTTACAATAATGCGCATGCAGGTCCCGACCGGAAGGAAGTATCAAGCAGTCACTGGAAAAGGTTCAATTGCTATGAGGCACGTCTTCTCGGGCAAAACTACTTGCATGATAATACCGCCGTACTACACGGATTCCACCACACATTTTGGCACATGCCAATATAGTTGGGGATCGCAGAGTCTTCTTAGACCTGCCACCTATCTCTAGAACTCTATTTGATCAAGCACATCAGCCACAGGGATTAGATGGTACGACGAAATTGCTTTTTCGTCTCAATCGGTTTGGCCATTCTCAAACCCAAACAGCCGAGATCCTTGTCCTCAATCACGGCACAACAGCGAGCGACCGAATCGTTGGGACTGCTTTTGTGACTGAATTGCTGCAACTGGTGGCTGACATTTACCTGGAGAACGGAATCAAAAGCCTCGTTGAGCAAGCTCCTGCATGACATCTCGAACATCCTTATCCAGAGACATTTTCAGCTTGGCATGGAACAAGGCTTCGGATTCCGAGGCCATTCATAGCATCTGCTTTACTAAAGGCAATGAACGGTTGGCCTGTGTAAACTTCGCAGTCTTTATCCCACCTGCCAGGGTCCTCGCATTTGCACTTTTGCTATTCGGCGGCGAGAATACCGTCATTCTCACACGCCACATGGAATTTTTCAAACCACATCATCGTCGCTTATTGGTGGGGACACAAGGGCGTTGCGTTCTCGTAAATCAACCATTACCCGCAGGACGGGTCCTCCGGGATCAGTAAATGGCTGAAGTTAGTCTCAAAGACCATGTTGTCATTTTATCAAAGTGGGTATTCCATCCCCATTCACCGTTGAAAAAAAGGTTTCCTCCAAGCTAGCTACTATTTTTATGAAAAGGTGATAACAGCATCTTCCACTAGATAGTGTGAAGATAGTCCTTTCATTGCTGGATGCTTGTATTGATAGCCATCCAAAGCTAATGAATGACATGCATAGTCTAACAATCACTTCCGCGGGATGAAGTGAGATCCCAAGATCTACTCCACGTGTCGAGGTTGTAGTGAGCGGCACAACCCTTGAGCTGAAAATCGATTTTGTCAACCCAGCTCATTCAATCTTTCCTCCCAGTCCTGGCTGCTTCCTTCCGTTCCCTCGCATTTTTCATTTTACATTCAACTTAAACACCACTTTACTTAGCAACTATCTTCTTCATCATAGTGCTCCCCCACCATCACGAATCACCTGAAACCTCTCTCCTGCATTCTAGCCCAACACGAATCTGATTCACGTCGCTCTCCCAAGAGACTTTCTCGAAGGTTGGCACTCTTTCAAAGGAATCATTTTCCCCAATGATTCTGACATTCACGAGCTGCCACCGTGCTGTAGAAGCTCCATTAGTCAATGCAAGCTCGAACAGTAAACCATTCCATTATGCTCCTCGTTTTCACATCGCCAATCTTCTTTTCTCTTATCTCTAATTCCATTATCTCACCACGTTGTGTCCAATGGATGCAGCACAAGCATATGGAGCCTCCATTCAGAACTTGTTGTTCAGACGGAAGCACCCACATCTGAGCGCGCATCTAAATCTCATGATTGCCATCTCATCTCAACCAGAATCGCTCTATCTCACCGCAAATCCGGAATCGGACAGTCAAAAAGTCGATGTGGAAGAAAGGATCCATATGCGTTCTAGCTATTCGGAGCTGCTCTACAGCAGGAAATCAACTTGTTGTATTTCAGATAGATAGGTAGATGTGTAGTTACATTCATACTCAATTCAAGCTCTGTATTGAACCTGTCATGTCAGCGCTGCTTTCGAGACGATTACGTCTATGCAAACTTCATCTTGCATGTTCATGTATAAACGCCATGTTCAACCATTTTTCAAACGCGAGACGAGGCTTTTTCATTCTCATGAACTATTACACTTGCTCACGACCAGTGTCAAAGCCGTATCCATTTCTGATGAAGTGTATATCCTACATCTCTTAGTATCGTGCTCTATATCAAGATTTTCATGAGGTTTATGTACGACATTGAACTCCTCTCGAGATTATATTCTCGAGACCTTGATCCATTTCTCGATCAAGTATAGACATAGGCACTTCATCTAACCTGCTGCACTGGGCACAACGAGTTTGAATCTTTCTTGTTATAATTGGCACTTCTCTGATGATCTGATACTCGCTAGATGTCTGACTATCTCGGATATTGAAGCTCGTTGAATGAGGGATGGGTGCGATAGCAGCAAGGCATCAAGTCCTCGCGCTGTATGTATTGATTTTTCAGCTTATGGCGATGCATGTAAGATGAAATATTATGAGTTTGCTTCAAGTACCATACACCACCAACTTATCGCAATGGATGAATTGGTGCGAAATATTTGAAGTAGGCTCAAAACCTCGAGCGCATTCACTGCAGGCTTCCCAAAACCTAGATTTTTGTCGTTGCCAGCTACAGTGCATCGCGAGCCTCAGCTATCTTCTCTCGATGAATGTGCGTATGTTAGGAGATTTCGGTCCCATTATCCCGCAACCTTAGAATTTTCTTCGAGTCAAGATAGCCAAGATCCGACTCGACTTGATACCTGGCTAGGTAGGTTTCCATTGCAGGCGCAACGCCGGATAATACCTCCGTACCACGACACCAACCACAGGCAGAAAGAGTTCTTATACCCAAACATGTTCGACAGATTGAGTTCGTGAGAGGCGACGCCGTGAAGATAATGATGCAAAAATCAAAATCAACATACGTAGGTGCTGTCGAGGACAGAGTTGGAGGAGTTGGGGATATGAAGTTCATATGAAAGAAATAACCAAGAATCGATATTTTTATATCCCACAGCTACATCTTCCAAACCCATCTACCCTAAAATCAGAATTCCTTCGAGGGAGGAGGAACCTTCCTCGACCCCTGAACCCCTTCTACTCCCTCCACCTTATCCACCCCCAGTCCACCCACACCTCACCGCCCTCGTCAATCTCGCCTATTTTTTTTTTCCATCCAAGTGGATCCCCACCTAGCTCCACTTTCTCAAAAATTTCAAACGCACGATATAGTTTTGAATAACATCTTTCTGGTCATCCAATCAGATCTGTCGGGTCAGCTTAAGAAGCGTTTGTGGTTTAGTGGTAAAATCCATCGTTGCCATCTGTCTTCTAACATACAGAGAGTCAACTTCGATGGGCCCCGGGTTCGATTCCCGGCGAACGCAAAATTAAAAATGTTTTTTTTGAGCTTTCTTTTTAGCCTGCACTGTTTGAAAAGCTTTTTGCTTGGTTTGGGTTTTTATGTTTTTGTGTTGGTGTTGTTGAACTGGGGGTTTTGGCGGCGGGGTGGAGTGCATAGAAATTTTCATCCTCGTTTGTTAGCCGAGATTGAGGTTGTAGCGGGGAGTGATTCAAAAGGTAGGAGAAAGGAGAGGTGTGTATGTTTATTCGACTTTAGCTTGATAAGTACCAACTTATAATGCTCTAAATTCAAGTCTTGGATTATGCGAATCCCGAGTGGGAAATTTTCGATGGGTCTGAGAAGGCAAAAATTCGTTTCAGAAAACAATCATGTTTTGTGATGGGTTTGGTTTTTAGCAGATGTATCCTCTTTCTATTTCTTTTCTGTTTCTTTTATTTATTTAATTTGTTTTATTTTGTTATTTTTAGGTTTATCTTCTTGCGCTTTGAGGCTGACGTTGCATAAAGAAGATTCACGTGATTAGCATTATCAATTTCCTCGAAGGTATGTTTGCATTATGCTTTTCTCGTACAAGTTATTGTCAACATCGCGTGAACACCTCAGCGGGCAATTCCCCACCTCTTGTTCCTGTCTATATTTCTAAATACATTCCCTTAGTAAATTGGTCCAGAACACCTTCGAGGAAAATTGAGATACCACTATTTCTCAATGTCTGGTAACTCGTTCACGGATGTTTCCTCTCCCTCAATGGCAGAAGTAGGCACCTTTTCACCATTCAACTCCGCCATCTTCGCCGCAGCTTGCGCAGCATATTTACATTTCATCCTCAGTTTTTCTCCCCAAAAGTACATCACAGGTGGGAACGGGAGACACAAAAGCGTCAAGAATCCAGGAATGGAACTTGCCCAATGAATGCCAAGGTTCGCGTACATCTGCGAAACAAAGAGTGGAAACGCTGTACCGAAGAATGATCGAAGCATGGCAGTGGCAGCGAGCACTGAAGCTGCATAGATTGTGTAGGTGTCGACGACGTACGTCAGGACGCTGACGAAGACAAGAACGCAGCCGAATGCAAAAGGCGCAGAGCCAATAATGCTCACAGACCAATGGACCGACGGTCCATTCGTCCATGCAAACCAAAAGAGTCCAATTGGGAGTGCAATGCTTCCAATGATGCTCGGTGGCAAGCGCCACTCGGGAAGCGGAATTCCGCCTTCAGGCAGAGTCTCCATCAACCGCTTATACCGACGATTGTCGAGAAGCATGTACACGAGTCCAATGATCATCCCAACGGTAACACCTAGAAAGGCCAATCCCCCAATTCCCTCGCTCCAGCCACGATTTTCCTGATAGATTATAGGATATGCGCCGAAAAGCATGTACAAGGTGCCGTAAAGAATGGCTAGGTATATCGATGCTACCAACACAATTGGCTCTGCGAATAGAAGGATCCAGGGACGAGCCAAGCTGGTTTTGAATGCCTCGGCAGGCGTGTGGCGATGTTCTTTGTCTAGCAAACTGATAAAAGTCTTGTCGAACCTTTTAGACAACGCTTTTGCTCTTCGCTGAAGAAGAACTGGCCCGTAAGTCTCGGGGAGAACTAGTGTTCCAAAAATCCAGATCACACCTGTCGTGATAGCCAAGATACCCTGAACCCACCGCCAACCAATTGCTTCGCTCGTGAAGCCCGCCATGACCGGTCCGAGAGCTGGTCCGAGGAATGGTGCAACTGAGAAGACCGTCATTCCTAGTCCACGTTGGTGGGGCGGGAACACATCTGCAATGACACCCCCAGCATTCGTCAAAGGGGATGCGGCGAAAGTACCACCGAGGAATCGCAGGACAAGAAGTGTTGCCATTGAGTTACTACCAGCACAGCCTGCGGTGACAGCCGTGAGGCATGCGAAGGTAGTGTAGAACAACACACGTCGACCATATGTTTCTGATAACGGCGCCCAAAAACAAGGACCAAGAGCAAAACCCAAGACAAAAAGCGCTATCCCAGCTAAGATAACCTCCTCGCTACTTCCGAACTCTGCTTTCAACTCCTGCACAGTACCAGAATAGGCCGACGAGAGGAAAGTGACGTCGAAGACGGATAAAGTGACTGTGAATGTGTAGAACCATTTCCGTGCTTCTGAGATATTCTTGGGATTCTCGGGATCTCCGGTGAGGAATTCAACAAGGTAAGGATCTTCATGCGTGCCTGCACCTTCCCAACGGTGTTGAAGCACCTCATCTCGAATTTGGCTTTGCTTCATATGGGTTCACAAAGAAAGTTGCCGAATATGAATATATAAGAGGTATCTATGAACAGGCTATGTGAAGCGAGGCAGGCAAAAGAATATGTAAAGAAGCACATGAATGTCCAAGTTCGAGGTTGCAATATTGTATTTATCCGCGCTCGTTCCCCCCGTCGGGGAGATGTTCCGCGGTTCGCTAACCCTGAGCTGATTGGTGCTAGGTCTTACGGCACGTGATTATTTTTCGCGGACATGATCCGGTTTTGACTCTTCGTTCTCGCATTCTTTGCTCTCAGAGCCTCACCGATCAACTTTCCGCGAGTATCGTATTGTAATCTCAGATGGCTAATGAGATACGGCAGGGTACAGTACCGTGCTTGCCGATGTCTTGTGCCAGACCCCACTAACATGTCACAGGTAGCCCCACCATACATGACCAGCCTTCTGTCCCTAACAGCATCCATCACAACGATGACGGACCACCTCCACTGAAGCGCCGCAAGATCCTTCTTGCTTGTAGTGCTTGCCGTGACCGGAAGTCACGTTGCGATGGTAGACGACCGATCTGCTCAGCTTGCACGAAGAGAAAGGCAGCGTCAACATGTGTATATGAAGAGAGTACATTGAAAACGCAGCGGTACGCACATTCCGATAATTTGATTTCCTCCGAGACTTTTGAATTGGACTCCAGTTCTGACAAAATCTAGAGATATTGCCATCCTAGAAAGTCGAGTCAGAGAGCTCGAGGGCAGCAATACTTCGAATGCTCTTGGACAACAACAGTCGCCAGGTACGACCCACAATCATCAAAATTCTCCTCACTATAATAACGTCGACCTACTCAGGTCGTCTCAACCGTACCCCCTTTCCCCAGGATGATGATCACTCACGTGATGTCCACCCTCTGGTTCAGACGCAACACTATCACAGCAGAGGCACTGAAGAAAGCCACATGCTGAGCCCGACGTCACGAAACGATGCAAGTATAACTAATCCGCTAACCTCAGGTCCCATTGACGAGGATAGTGCTCACATTTTCGGAAAGTCTTCTGCCGCTTCCTTTGTACAATCCCTAAAACAGACCATTCTCCACTCTCATGGCGCAGACCCGACTCGAGCCCCGCAGTATAACACGACTCCGAACAAGCTTAATCCAAGAGCGAATCCAATTCCAGTCAGATCAGGCTATGGCCTCGATACAAGCGCGTTTTCTCTTCCTACACGCAAGCAAGCTGATCGATACATGTATTGTTTCTGGGAATACGTCCACCCTATTTTCCCCATACTTCACAAGCCATCATTCGTTTCATCGTATCGGTCCATTTGGATATCTGAGGAGGAACGAAGTGGTGATGATCATGCATCTATTGAGGATCCAATATTCCTATCAACATTGAGCATAGTCTTTGCGCTCGGCTGCCAATACACCGAAGAGATCGAACCGAGTCGAAAATCCGTCATAACAGAGCGCTTCTACCACCAATCTCGAAAATTTCTTGCTATGGACGAACTGGACTCGGTATCAGTTCTCGCTGTTCAGCTTCTACTTCTTAGTGGAATATACCTTCTCAACTCAAGTTACAGCAATCGTTGTTGGAACATGGTAGGTCTAGCAATTAGGAACGCACAGAGCTTAGGTCTCCACGAGGAGAATAGAAGGTGCCTGCAAAATCAAATCGAAAGAGAAACCAGGCGTCGAGTCTGGTACAATTGCGTCTACGTTGACAGGTAGCTAGCTGTTCCAATCTCCTGCCTTTCTTCCCTGTTGCCGCTCTATCTAGAAGGCTAACCTCTCCTTGACGTATAGACTGGTGGCCACGATCTTTGGACGACCACATATGATCTCATTACCGTCGAGCATACCACTACCTCTGCTGATTGATGACGAGTATCTTTTAGTCGATGGTGAAGGACAGCAACCAGCCAATACCGATTCATACCTTGGGTTTTTTCTATCATCGCTCAAGCTTTTCGATATCATGAGTGATGTGCTCACAATGTATTATAATCAGAAAGAATCTAGTCTTCACAGCCATCATACTGGGACGCCATGGTGGCGTTCACATCTCCTGGACGATATCTTGAAGATCGACAGTACTCTAGATGACTTCGCGAATACACTTCCGAACCATCTCAAAATCCAACAGAATACTGCAGAAGCTTGGACGCAAAACGCAGGGAACATGAAATGGAGGCAGGCTAAGATATTGCAATGCAGGTTCGCATTCTCTCATTGCCCTTCACTCCTCATGATCTGACTTGAGTCTCATGGATTTCTTAGATTTTTATACGTACGAGCATTTCTCCTGAGGCCTTTACTTCTTTCCGCCGTTCAAGCTAGCAAAGACGCATCTTTGAACCCGAAGAGTTCGGCTGAGGAGCTTGGGGAGCGCGTTGCGCTTCAAGTATGCGTGAAGTGTATTGAGAACGTTCACGAACTCGTCACAGCCATCTATAGCTCACTGCATGTCAACTATCAAAGCCCAGAATGGGTGACACATTGTAAGCAACTCATAGTAACATCACATACAGAAGCTTACGAGAAGGAATAGACACATTCTCTTGTGCGATGGTTGTTGCGGCGGCTCGTATATGCTCTTTCTCCGAAATCCAGTGTAGCGCAGCCGCCCTCCAACTCTCTTGGTCCCGGTGTATCGCAATACTTTTGCACTATAAAGAACATATTCCCTCTGCCCCTTATGCCGTACAAGTTCTCGAAACGTTACAGCAACGGGCTGCTTCAAACTCGAGCAGTAATGGTGAGATATTACCGTATTCT